GGCGGAAAAAAACCGATTTCGGCTTCTGTAAGCCCGGGGGCTGGCTCCCCGCCCCGCCGCCCGCCGTTCCCCACCCGGCGCAGGGGGTGGCTCGGTGGGGTGAGTGAGCCCCCCGCTCCAACCCTGCTAAAGCAAAGGGGAAGGCATCAAGCTCAGCTCCGGCTTGGAAAACGCGCGTACGTAGAGCAGCTCTAGGACTGCCACGGGGATCCTGTCCCCAAGGGCTGGCCCCGCACAACCCAGCGGCTCCGGGTGCTGGAGAGCGCTGGGATGCAGCAGGGCCACGCGCCTGGGCAGGGGGATGCACAGGCAGCCGAAGCAAACAGCCAGCGGAGGGGTGACGCTCTACGGTCAGGCCCTGCGTCCCATCCCTGCGCGATGGTGCAGAGGAACCGAAGCCCCCGGCCAAGTGCGTTGCTCCAAGCACCGCTCCGAGGGTTCGGGTGGGCTCCGCATCTCCCAGGGCCGAGGACAGGCTCTGCTCGGGAACGCCAGCCAGCTTGGAGACTCGCAGCCGTCAGCCAAGGGGGTGAAGAGCTGGGCAAGGGGAAACCTGCAGGGACAAGCCCTTCCCAAAGCGGCCCCCCAGAACGTTTATCCAGCCCCATTTTTGTACCCCCCACCCCCAAACACAGGGAGCGAGGGACAAAAGCCCACTCGCACCCCAGGTTCCTCCTCGGGAGCAGGGGGCACCTTCGGCGGCGCAAGGATGAGCTACCCAGCTCCTTCCTCCAGCCTCGCACTCAACCACCGCATTTGCATGAAAATTCACGTTCGCTGCCGGTTTTGTTCTGCTCGAAACGCAAAATTACTTTTTTAAGACCCAAATATTTTCCGGGGAGAGGGAGAAGGCCATTGGCGAGGGCTGATGGCGTTTCCCAGCTCCGGGCAGGATGGCAACTCTTTGCATTACAATGAAGGATTCTGCTCCACCCTCAATCACTTGAAAATAATGAATCCAGTTTCACGATTTCTTCCTCCCAAGGTTACATTGGTCTGGTCTTTTTCCTCGCCGCTGGTGATTAACATCTGGGCCCTCGAAGGAAGGGCCTGAAAAACTACTCACGGGAGCGCCGTGCCTTGCAACCGTGCGTAGGGGCGACAGCAAAGCTTTGAAGTTTAGTGATGTATATGATACATGTGTTTAATGGAAGCGTCTGAGCGTGGCACAAGGGGAAGATGTTATGTTAGCATTAACGCTGCTCGCTTAACTGGATGCTCTCGTCATTTTTTTTTCTTTTTGATTAAACAAAGATTTTAAACGCTACTGTAGAGGCTGCGTGGAATTATTTTCCAATGAATTAATATAAACGTGTGCGCACAGGTATAGATAGAAGATACAAACACGTTCTGGAGGGGGTTGGAAAGAAGCCACTTGATACTGCTCAGAATTTCAAAAGCCACTTTATAAAGCAAATAAAAATATTTACTGATTTGGTACACTCACATGGAAAATCCCTAGAAAGAGTGCTAAAAATGAATGGAAACTCTGTACTTTGCAGCTATTTTAAATTATATATCAAAACAGACAAATACACCTTCCGTGCTTGTTTATGTTACAATAACAAAGTCAAAAACAGGCACAAGTTGTAAAAGTTGAAATGTTTTACTTCAAAGTCCAAAAAAATCTCCTCTCTTTGTGAGAAATTCAAGGAAGCATCTGACAAGGAATACCGACAGACGTGTCTTTAAACACCGTGCTCCGCAGGCTGCCTGCTGTGTCTTCCCCGAGAGTTAATAAAATCCGATTTCTATGCATTCTTTAAAACTCCGTGTCCGTTTTCAGGCTCTTATGTGTGAAGTAAATGACGTTTGGAGTTCAGATTGACAGGCACAGCTAAGCACAGCTTGTATATGTAGTAAAGACAAAACAGCACTCCTACCTCATCAAATGTCTCACAGGCAAATTAGCAAGTCTAGTTTACTCGTGTTTTGCAATACGCTATTTCCAAGCGACATAGCCCCCCACAAAAAAAAAAAAAATCAGTTTGGTAAGAAATGTGCACATTTAAAACAAGTATCATAGTTTAAAAACTACAGGGGAGTTTCTTAAGGATTCCATTTTTCCCCCCCCAATTAATTAATAAGAACAAGAACAAAAACCCCAGACATTTTCTATACTTAAAAAAAAAAACAAACAAACAAACCAACAAAAAAAAAAACCCCAACACACACACAAAAAAAACCCAGTCAAGAGCTAATTCCAGCTGTATCTTCCTGAGGGAGGTGGTAGCGGGTAGGGCCTCCCGGGGCCATATGCCTACAAACAAACAGAAGCAAGCATTTATTTTTTGGATTAACATCACAGTAAACAAGTCAGCCGAGCTTCAGGCGCCACACAAAAATGGAACAATACATCCTTTGCACAGAAAGGTACCACAGGCAGAGCTGAACGTCCCTCAACGGCGTTTACCGATGCTCTCCTGGAAACACAAGCTTTAACTTCCACCAACGGAGAGCGGTTCTGTACAGCACCGGCCTCCGCTTCCAGCTGTACCGAGGGAGGAGCAACGCTTCTACATCAGAAACACATTCGCCAAAAGACAGCGCTGAGGACAAGTTATTTCCGAGCTGTAACACCTCTGCGTGTTCTTTGCTTTCAGCAGTGCTGGAAGCAAAGAGGTACAAAAACGTTAAAGCCACACACACACGCACACGTTCACACACACCTGGAGGGCAGATTTGAAATGCAGATTTTTAATTCCTACAGAAACGTGGGCTTTGCAGTATGTTTCCTTTGCCTGCTTTACACAGAGTAATGATGTAAATGTCATTTTTGTGGACTAAAGTATCAATTTGAGACGTGCGATGCCTGTATGCTGTTAGCAGGATTAGTCAGGCTTACTTTTTTAGAGGAAAAAAAAAATAAATTTCCCTCAACTACCAGCTTTCTGCTGTAGCTGTAAGCAATCTTATGCTAAAGCAAGGCAGACATTTTTACAGATAAGTATTTTAAGGAAAAAAAATAAATTATATTTGTTACAGAAGCAGCATTTTCCAGCACTCATTCGCTTTAAATAATAGGTGAAAGATGCCCAAATCCCACCTTGGAAATCATTCCAAATCAGATACATTTTTGTATTTAAATTTAGATGAGGCATTCTGTACATCAACCATCCAGTGAAAAAGTCTGTCGGAAAAATTTCATAAAAAGTCCCCTTGAAACATGTAAAATTATTTCAAAACCTGACGTACTGCAGAGACCAGAAAGTTAATTAAATGTGATGCGCTAACGACAGCTATAGGGCTTGCTTTGTTTGTTTCGTACTTGGAGGGTTTTTTTGGTGGGTAGGGGAAGAGGGGCTTCCTTTTATTTCTTTGAGAGAGAAATCCATCTTTACCCTGTCCTACGGGGGCTCAGAGCGCGCCACGGAAACTGAAGAGGCAGCGAGCAAACCTGTGACAGGGGAGGTTGGCTTCAGCCTGCTCGTGTCAGGATCAAAAACGACTTTCTGAACAGAAACCGACTTGTTACACCCTGTTTTTAAAGGGGTCTGAAAGAGACGTGCAGACTACACTGTTTCCACTATCAGGAAGGTTTTATGTTTGTTTTCGGGTTTGACTGTAATCAATTAAAAAAGGAAACAAGTTGACTATATCCCTTAAAAAAATCCTTCCAGTGACATAAATAGCAGCAGTCCCTGTACAGAACTAGAGTTGAGAGGCCTTGTAAGAGCTGCACAAGACATTTATCCGGACATCCAGTTGTGTATTACTACAGACTAAAATAAAAATGTCAGACACCTGCACAACACGATCAGGTTTATTCTTTAGTTTTCTGGAACAGCTGGAAGACACCAAACAAATACCCACTACCGCAGAGCAACCCATATCCATGGCAGTTGCATTAATTTTGTAAGCACTTTGTAGCAGCGCGTTTATTAACCTCTTCAGACCATGTTCTGTATGCTGTAAAAAAAGAATGCAGAGGTGAAAGGGACCAAAGATAATTATTTATGCTGCTATGTGTCACCACTTCCACTTGAATCCCTTTTCAAGGCTTTAAAGCTTTGAAATTTACAGGCAGCAATGCTAGATTCAATTATTGGTATTGCACCCTAAACCCTTTAAGGTAGCTTCTAATTTTACTCCAGTGCTGTCAGCCCCGAGGAAATAATGACAGCTGAAAGTTCATTTAAAAATAACCCAAACAAATACCCACTACCGCAGAGCAACCCATATCCATGGCAGTTGCATTAATTTTGTAAGCACTTTGTAGCAGCGCGTTTATTAACCTCTTCAGACCATGTTCTGTATGCTGTAAAAAAAGAATGCAGAGGTGAAAGGGACCAAAGATAATTATTTATGCTGCTATGTGTCACCACTTCCACTTGAATCCCTTTTCAAGGCTTTAAAGCTTTACAGGCAACAGGCAGCAATGCTAGATTCAATTATTGGTATTGCACCCTAAACCCTTTCTTCTAATTTTACTCCAGTGCTGTCAGCCCCGAAATAATGATGACAGCTTAAAGTTCATTTAAAAATGACCAAAAA